TTAAGAAAAGCGATTTGCTGGCAGGGAGGAACAAGTCAATCGGCTACTGTTATAACAACAACAAGAGGGAGCGTTGGTTGGTCAGTGGTAGAGTTGTCACTTTCCAGGCAGGAGCCAGGTTCTAGTCCAGCACTTCATATTCTGCCACCACCTGTCTGTCGATGGAAGCTTGCTATGATGCTGAACCGTTTTCAGTGGAACTTCCAGACTAAGATAGACTAGGATGAAAGGTCTGGCTGTCTGCTTTCAGAAATCAGTTAATGAAACCCCTGTGGATCACAATGGTCTCGTCCACAACCGATCACGGGAATGGCACAGGATCAGACAGTGTTTAGTACCATTGAGCGTGGGGGTCACCGTGAGCCAGGGCTGATTCAATGGCAGCTGACAATAAGAAGGAATGGCTGGCCAGATTTTTGCAGATTCATGGGAGAAAGACTTAGAAACTAAGCAGTTAGCACTTCCTCACACTTAATCAAAGCATGGGCCCATAGGAGGTGCACAGACATAGAACTATTTTGCCATTACTGGTGATGACCTTCAATCCCCACAGACCCCAGCTGGACCCAGTGCGTCACCAGCAGCTGAGGCAGTCATCAGCTCTGGGACGGGGCGGTATGTGAGAAGACCCCCACTGCTGTACTCAACGTTCTGCTCAGGTCTGGTTCCTCCAAAGAGAGACAACCTGGGCCAAGGTGGTGCCCGCGTGTGACTTGCTTCTGATTGAGCGACCTTTAGTGACCTTTCTTCACTCAAGTCTAGGCGCCAGAAATTACTGACGCACAGCTGTGTCCCGTCAGCACCAAAGGGAGAGCATTTGGCACAAATTGTAGTATTACCAGCAGGCTAGTGGAGTATGCCAAAGGAGGTCAGCCGGTATGAGCCTCAGAGGCCACATCCGCCCAGCGTCCACACCCATGTCAAGTGGACTGGGACAGCTGTGGCCCTCTGATTTCACATGGCTAACTTAGAGATGGCCCCATGTTCAGCCACCCTTCCCTTCATGGGGGCAGATTTAAGAGGTCATAGGAAAAGAAAGACGTTCTGGTGAAAAAGAAAAGTCAGAGTCCCTGCGGGGTACAAATAGTTAATGCATTTGGCTGCTGTCCTGAACAGTGGAGACTCGAATTACCTAGAGGCACCTCAGAAGAAAGGGCTGGTGACCTGTGGAAAGGTCAGAGGTCATCATCTCAGTCCTCCACCCTCTCACACCATCTCTCCTCACCCTCATCATCCTCAGCTTACAAACACGTCAGGATTTCTAAGTTTAAAATAATAGGGAGCGGACTTAAATTTGTCTGGATTTCAGAAGGCGATGTCTTAATAAAAGGTTGTTGTTAAGTGCCGCTACTGTTTTTTAAGACACAAAACGACCCTGTATAAGGTTCCCAAGGAGCAGCTGGTGAGTTTGAGCCACCGACTTTCAGTTCAAACTGGCCTTGCAGTCCAGTGCTTTATCCCACAGGGCCACACCAGGATTCCTAATAAAAGGGATTACTCCTTATATACACACAAAGGAACGCTGTTGTTACTAGGTACCCTTGAGTTGATTCCAACTCATAGCGACCCCATACAGCAGTAGAACTGCCCCATAGGATTTCCTAGGCTGTCATCTTTATGCGAGCAGGTACGAGGCCTCTTTCCCATGATGCCACTGGGAGGGTTCCCACCGCCAGCAATTGAGTCAGCAGCCTAGCACTTAACTCTTGTTTCAGCACGGTTCCTTGATGGAACGTTGTTGTTGTTGTTGTTGTTGTGAAGTGCTGTCGAGTTGGTTCCAACCCATAGCTACCCTGTGTAGGGTTTCTGAGGAGCGGCTGGTGAGCTTGAACCACCGACCTTGCAATTCAAATGACTTTGCAGTCTGGCGCATTAACCCACAGCGCCACACCAGGACTGATGGAACATTACACAGCCATAAAGATAAACAGAGTCCTTGTACCACAACATGGGTGAACGCTGAAAACATCATGCTGAGCAAAATAAGTTGTAAAAGAACAAATATTGTATGATTTCACTTAAAATATGTAGTGTCTTAGGCTGAGTTTCCTAGACAAGCAAAACCAATGAAATATGATGGTTATGTGCCCTGGAGTCGGTTCTGACTCATAGTGACCCTGTACAGGGTTTTTGAAGCTATAAATCTTTATGGGAGAAAAAAGCCTCCTATTTCTACCTCAGAACGGCTGGTAGTTTTGAACTGCTAACCTTGAGGTTGCAGCCCAATTCATAACCACTATGCTACCAGAGCTCCTTAGGGAAACAGATACATGTGTGTATATATATATATATATATATAGTGGTGGTGGTGGTAATGTGCTGTGGAGTCAGTTATGACCCATAGTGACCCTGTACTGGGTTTCCAAGGCTGTAAATCTTTACAGGAGCAGAAAGCCTCATCTTTGTCCCACGGAACAACTGGTAGTTTTGAACTGCTGACTTTGAGGCTTGCAGCTCAACTTGTAACCTCTATGCTACCAGAGCACCTGTGTATATATATATATATACGTTTGTTATCAAGGAAATGGTTTACAATTGTAGCATTCCAGGTCCCCAGCGGAAGACAGTGAGAGAGAGAGAGACTTTCCCATGTGTCCGTTTTAGTGGGAGCAGGCCACACCCCCAAGGAAGCATTCCATCAGTTGATTGGCAGCTCACAGTCATTCATCACAGAGTTAACTTTGTCTGTATTAGGCTTCATCACCATAGGAATAAGTACATCCCAACTGCTAAACCTCGGGAAATCCTGGCCTAGTCGAGTTGACATCACATACAGAAACCAGAGATGATTAGCGGTTACCAAGGGTAGGAGGGAGAGAGGCTAAGGTGGGGGTGGGGGTGCAGTGGGGTTACGTAGGGGGCATTGAATTTATGTGAATGGCAGTGGAATGACTTGGAAAAGAATCGTGAGAATGGTTGTACAACTTAAAGAATGTGACTGATGTCAGTGAATTGTGCATATAGAAATTACTGAGTCTGTCTATGCATATGTTGTTGTTGTGAAGTGCCGTTGAATCAGTTCCAACCCATAGATACCCTGTATAAGGTTTCTGAGGAGCAGCTGGTGAGCTTGAACCGCCAACCTTGCAGTTCAAGCAGCTTTGCAGTCTGGCGCATTAACCCACAGCACCACACCAGGACCCCAGCCCTAGTATCATTGAGTCAGTTCCGGCCCCCAGCAACCATATATAGGGTTTCTGAGACTGTAAATCTTTACAGGAGCATACAACCTCATCTGGTGGCTTTGAATTGCCCACCTTGCAGTTAGCAACCCAATGCATATTACACAGCATCACCAGGGCACCAGGAAGCCGGCTTCAAAAAATTAGTGGAAAACCTCCATTATCTTTTAATTTCATTTTTCCATGAAGATTTTCGAGCCCTTTCGTATTCTCAGCTGTCATCCAGGCTGCCCCTGGACTCCTTCCTAACCTGACAGAAAGTACTCTCGACCAGGTCCCTCACTAGGGGAAGCTTTCCCTGTCCAGACACACCTTCAACAAACAATTCCTCACATTTCTCTCCTTTCTGCTCTCTTCCTCCCTCCTTCATCCCCTTAAGTAACCACTACGGGACCCAGAGCTGACTGGAGAGGCTGTATTTCCATCAGCAGGCAGTGCTTACTGAGGGGGTTCTAATTGAGCCCTTGTGGGCTGTCTGCTCTCACTTACTTCCTGAGCATGTTTCCCCCACTTGGAGTAGAAACTGTGACTTGTGGCCCTAATTGCAGTGGCTGCCACATTCCTCCCTGCAGAGCTTCCTCTCTCTGTCATCCGTTCTTGCACCCACACTCTGAGAAGCTCGTGGAGGTGGGGTTTGGTTGGGAATCCTGGTATTATGTACCTGCTGGTAGAACCTCTGGATGGTGCAAATACACTCTGCTGCTCACAGCAAGGCTGGAGGCTGGAGTCCATTCTGAGGTACCTCAGAACAAAGGCCTGGTGATCTCCTTATTAAAAAAAGCCATTGGAAACCCGATGTCAGGGTTGACTGAGGGGCAGCTATTTTGTTGTTGTTGTTGGTACCTGCTTTCATAGCTGTTCTTACCCAGAGTGCTGGTGGGGATGTCTTCCCAAAGCTCTCTAGGACTGGGTTTCTGGAACATTGAGAAAGAGCCCCAGGAAACAGCAGGATAGGGTGGATAACCCCTACTCTTGATCCCTCCAAATCCTGCTGGAGGGCAGGGAGCCTGCCTCCCAGTGTGGCGGTCAGCTGAGAACCAGGGGCCTCACTCAGCTCCAACTGAGTCCTTCCCCCCACCTCCTCTAAGACCCTGGGAGTTTCCCGTTAAATCTCCGATAGTTTGCACATTTAGTCCCTGTGATTGTAAATTACCAACTCCCTTTCTAGTGCTACGGTTTATGGATTCTTATCATCCAGAAGCCAGAGTTCCTTGGCTGCAAAGCAGGGTGGGCAGGCGGAGTAGGGTGGGGGACTGAGCGGCCTGGGGGTGGGGTGGGGTGGGGGCTGCACCTCCCTGTGATATCCCCTGCTCTGGGACCTTTCCGCAGCTACAGCTCCACTGGGCCCCAGACCCCATGACTCCCACCCAAAGGGTCAGTAAGGGCATCTGGACCAGAAGCTGGCCAAGGCGGAGGAATGAAAACATGTGCGCGTCCCTTGTCCAGAGAGGTATACCTTCAAAGCCTTGATTTCTCCACTCCCGTCAGGGCTATGTGCTTTGCATTCCTGAAAACATATTTGAACATAGGCCTTCCTCTTGGAACTTCGAAAGGACTCCCCTCTTCATGTTCCTACTACAATAACAGCCCTTACAAGTCCATAAATTTTGATTTTCCTTCCCCATTTCCAGGTAGGCAAGTGACCAGGGTCAGAGCTTCTGGAATGTGGGTGGGCTTGGCTGCTGGTCCACTGGGGTGGGGTCCATAAGGGTGCTCCTGGGTTGGGAGGGCCTGGGAAGTGTGTGCTCTGGGCCTCACTGGCCTTTTAGGGGGTCCCCTCCCCACACCTGTGACCCTCTCATTGTGTGCTTTCCTCAGCTTGCGATTGCCACCCCGTGGGTGCCGCTGGCAAAACCTGCAACCAGACGACAGGTCAGTGTCCTTGCAAGGACGGTGTGACAGGCATCACCTGCAACCGCTGTGCCAAAGGCTACCAGCAGAGCCGCTCCCCCATCGCCCCCTGCATAAGTACGTGACTCCATCTTTCTCCGGTCTCTGGCTCAGGGATGGGGGTAAACTGTTTGGGATGCTTGTCCTTGGTGTCCTGGGGGTTGAGCACTCATTGGCGGGGATCTCTGTGTACAGTGCCTGGAGTGACACACACAATGAAACCCTATGTGTCAGCCCATGGGGTGGTTGAAGCAGGAGCCAGCCTGTCCCAGCAAACTCCTGTCCTCAGCCCAGGGTTCATTCCCAAGTTCACCTCGACCCAGACCTTGGCTAGGTTTGCACTAGGGACCGCTGATAACTGTTGATGGAATTCAGAACAGGAAAAACTAAAAACCAAAGGCTTTGAGGGAAGCAGCTCAGAGCTGCTAGGCTTGGCATATGTGTCCCAGGCTGCCACTTTTGAAGACTGATCGCTTCCCTGAAGGGCCTTAGGGGCCCTTGTTGACCAGGAATTAACCTTGTAGTTGCTGGAGTGCAGGGAGGTGGTGGGCCAGATGACAGGCGCCACTCAGAAGAGTCTCAATGGTTTATCACCCTAGCAAGAACCAGCCCTAATTGGAAGAATCAAGCCAGGTTGTGAGCTGGCTCTTAACCTTGTTGATGCCTTCTGCTGGGCTGAGCTAGACCAAGAAAGGTATTGGAAGAAGCAGAGTGCCGGACAAAGTTTAATTCTGTAGAACTGGGGCTGGCAAGCTTGGGCCCATTTGAGAAGGTTTCCATTCCCCTCATGTTCAAGCCCTGCCATGGGATATTTCTGCACCAGTGAGTGGAGGTCAGAGATGAGCGGGGCCCAGGTAACCCCATCATGTTGAGCAGGTAGACTTGTGAAGCCCCGTCTCCTGCCCCATGGCCTGAGTGCTGCTGATGCTACCCAGTCAAGACTCAGTAAGCCATCCACAGAAGTCCCTGGCTTGTGAACAGGGAAGGTTCTCCATCACCAGTGTGCTTCTGTGTTTTCCCTAAATCTCAGCCCTCCTCCCCAGCCAGGAGCCCTGACATCCCAGCCAGTGGTAGGAATCACTCCAGCTTCCAGGGAAACACCATGGTGTGACCCCAGACCCTATTCCTGGCATCATTCTTCTCTCTGCTTATCTCTTCTCAAGCTGTAGAGGAGGAAGGGGAGAGAGAGGCCTCCAGGAAGTTGCGAGAACTTGGCACTGAAGTAACATCAAAAGTAACATTTCCTACCTTGTTTTCTCTTCCTCCCATCCTGAACCTCATGAAGAGATTCCTGTAGCGCCACCGACCACAGCAGCCAGCAGTGTGGAGGAGCCTGAGGGTAGGTTTCCTACAACTTCTCATGTCTTGACTTTTTTGAGTGGTGGGATCGTGGGAGGGCTGGGACGGGTCACATTAGAAAGGGGTGGCCTCCGCTGCTAACCACCAGCTGGACACTGTTTAGTTGAAGTGATGCCCTGTGAGCTGTGGTGAGGAGGAGGGTTGAATGCACGGGGTGTTTTTTGGTGAGGGATTTTTAATGATGGCAGAGGTCAAGGTCACAGAGAAAGACACGATTTGCACACAGACACTGATTAAAACATTTTTCTCACACACAAAACAGACAATGCAATGACAGCTTCAGTAGTGGGCGTCGGTCCTCCAGGGCCAAGGGGTCTCACTCTTGGCTGCAGCTGATGCAAGCCTGGTGGACTGCGTGCACCTCTTCTTCATGCAGCAACTGAAGGGCTCATCTGCTCCCAACCAGGAGACCCACCAAAATAGGGTGGGCCACGTGCTGTGTGACACACACGCATCAATCAGCAGCTAACTGTGTCACTAGAACAGCGAGGGGGCTTCTCTGATAAGGAAACATGCTTGGTCTCTAATTTACATTTTTAAGGATTGCTCCAGGTCCAAGGAGCTCTAGTAGCGTAGTGGTTACGAGTCGGGCTGCTAACCTCAAGGTCAGAAGTTTGAAACTACCAGCTGTTTTGTGGGAGAAAGGTGAGGCTTTTGGCTCCCATAAAGATTTACCGCCTCGGAAACCCTATGCAGGGTTTCTATGAGTCGGAAACGACTCCACGGCACATCACCACCACCATCACTCTAGGTCCAAGGTTTCTGATTAGGTGGTCTAGGTGACAGTTACTGGGACTGTGGCACGCTGGCTTCCCCCCAAAAACCCAAATTGAGCTTCTCCTGTGTGACCATCAGGAGTCCTGGTGTGGCACAATGGGTTAATGCTCTGATCTGTAAGGTCGGTTTGAACAACAAGATTGGTGGTTCAAGCTCACCAGCCACTCCTCAGAAACCCTAAACAGGGTCGTTATGGGTCAGAACTGACTCGATGGCACTTAACAACAACAACAATGTGTCCATCAAAGTTGCCAGCCCAATGCCATCCAAGGTGAGGACATAGAACTTGTTCCTAAGGCTCTTCTCGGTTTCCTGGTGTGGCACTGGACTGCTAACCACAAGGTCATTGGTTCCAACCCACCAGCCGCTGCTTGGAAATCCTATACGGGGTCGCTATGAGTTGGAACCAACTCAATGGCACTTTACAACAACAAGTCTCTGCTTGGCTTCAGAGAAGGAGGGAGATGAATGATGGGGCTAGAAAGAGAGTTCTTGAACATAGGGATCCACAATAGAATATAGGGGTGGGGGAAGTGAACAGGGTTGGGGGGTGAGGGGGAAATCACGTCTCTATGTTTACTCACCTCAAATTGAAATTTGAGTGTGCCGGGGTGGCACAGATGGTTAGGTTCTTGGCTGCTAACTGGAAGTTTGGTGGTTTGAGTATACCCCAAGGCACCTTGGAACAAAGCCCTGGAGAGATCTCCTTTTGAAAACCCAGCCACTGAATACTGTTGTAACACAGGTCTCTATGAGCTGGTCCACTTGATGACAATTGGTTTGCTTGTTTGTTTTTAACTGAAATTTCGTGTTTCCTCCCTCATGCCTGTGGAACACAAACCACAACAGAATCAGCAGCACCTGTGGCCTGGCCGCCAGTAGAACTCACAGCTGTTCCTACAGCACGTTCTGGCTGCTGCAGATAGCATGAACTATTGTTTATGCTCATTATTTCTCCAAAAGCACAGCACTGTTAGGCCCACGTTAGATTGTGATTTATAATGCAGTCATAGAGAATTCTGTGCACATATAATGCAAGGCGCTCTGGTAGCATAGTGGTTACGAACCGACTCCACGGCACACAGTAACAACAACAAGTAACGTAACTGTACCATAAATCTGAGTTTTAACAAATATTTGGGTAACTGTATTTCAGTATTCTTGGTTTCCTTTGTAGTGTTGTGTATTTGATGCTTTTAGCAAGGAGCTCTGGTAGCGTAGTGGTTACGAATCGGGCTGCGAACCTTAAGGTCAGCGGTTCGAAACTACCAGCCGCTCCGCGGGAGAAAGATGAGGCTTTCTACTCCCGTAAAGATTTACACCCTCGGAAACCCTGTACAGGGTCGCTATGGGTCGGAACCGACTCGATGGCACTTAACAACAACAACAACAACAACAGCATTCTGAGAAGGGAGCCATGGGTTTAACCCGGCTCTCAGAGGGGTCCTTGGCACAGAAGAGAGTACACACCCCTGACTTGGAGTCTGGGGACAGGGTGTCATGCTGAGCGCAGCCCAGACCCTGCATCCAGGGTCCTGTTTCTGGAGTCACGTGGAGCTCTTGTGTTCAGTACTTTGAGTAGGGATAGGATGGGGGCAGAAAGAATGACAGTGGACATCTCACCATGGGCATTCGTGCCAATTGCAGATAGGATTGTGGGTAGGTGTGGCAGAGGCTGGCAAACCCATGCGCCTCCTGAACATTTTACAATAAAGACTATGGATGTTCTGGATATCGACAGTGTAACGGGAACGCAAGAGAAAACAGATTTAGATTTTGTCAAGACGCAGTAAGCAAATAGCCCTCGAATTGGAGAGGACAGAATGTATATCAGCAGAGTCCCTGGGTGGTGTGAACAGTTAATGTGCTTAGCTACTAATGGAAAGGTTAGTGGTTCGAATCCACCCAGAGGAGTCTTGGAAAAAAGGTCTGGCAAACTGCTTCTGAAAAAGCATCCATTGAAAACCCTATGTGGCACAATTCTATTCTGACACTCATGCGGTCACCATAAATCAGAACTGGGCAGCAACTGGTTTGTTTGTTTTCCCTAGGGCAGAGCAGTTTGACACTTGACATGAAGTTTCAGTTCTAGCTCTCCTTGATCTGTTATCTGTCATTGCCTACCTTCACAATGATTTGCTTGAATGGGACTCACCTGGACAAGGTCTTTGGGGCTGTGTGTGTCCGTGCTCAGGTATAAGGCTTCCAAGCAGGGACTGACTGTGTACTTGGCTTATCCAAGGACTGCTGGTGGTGGTGGTGTGCTGTGGAGTTGGTTCCAACTCATAGCGACCCTGAATAGGGTTTCCGAGGCTGTAAATCTATACTGGAACAGAAAGCTCATCTTTCTCCCGTGAAATAACTGGTAGTTTCGAATTGCTCTCCTTGAGGTTAGCAGCCTGACTTGTAACCACTGCACTACCAGAGCTCCTTACCCAAGGACTGGGTAGTCATTAGCTCCTTCTCCTCACTCATTCTCCTAGTCCTTACAGCTTGGCTTTAAACTTCCTATGATTTTGTTTGACTACGTTAAAATCATGGTAAATATACTGGGGTTCAGGGGAGCAGGGCTGATTCTGTGGCAGAATTCTTGCCTTCCAGAACCCTGGTGTGGTGCTGTAGGGTCATGCAGTGGACTGCAAAGTCGATTTGAGCCGTAAGGTTCAAACTCACCACCCGCTCCTCAGAAACCCTATGCAAGGTCGCTATGAGTTGGAACTGACTCGACAGCACTTAATAACGACATCAGTGTGCAAGACCTGGGTTTGATGATTCCCAACAAATGCATCTCAAATGAAGCCAACATCTGCCAGTGGAGGTTTGCTTTTTCCTATTGATGCTGAATTGGCTTCAGCAAAACTTCCAGAATAAAACAAACTGGGAAGAAATGCCTGGTGATCTGATTTAAAACAACAACAACAACAAATCAGCCTGTGAAAAAGTCTATGGACCATAACAGTCCAGTCCCATATGCATGGGGCCACCATGAGTCAGTGGTCAACAGTGTCTACCATGAGGACAGCTAACATCAAAACCGACAAATACATATGCAGGAAGACATTTGTCATTTCAGCATTTGTTACAAGTACAATTCAGTGACACTGATCACATTTCTCATGATGTACAACCACAACCGTTATCCATTCCAAATGTTCCCACCATCCCTACCTAAGAGAGGCTCTGTACTCAACTGAGCAACGAGTCCTTCTCTCTGCCTCCTTACTCCCCACCCCTGGTAATCATTAGTAAACTTCCATCTCTAGGCATTGCCCTGTTCTAGATACATAAGTGGAATCATCCAACATTGATCCTTTTGGTGAATGAATAATTTCACACCAAATAGTGTTTTCAAGGTTGCTCTAACTTATCATGGTTTGGTTTTGTTTTTTAATGTTTTATTGTGAATTATGTGATAGTTTACATGGGAGAACATTAGTTTTACATTCATCCTATAGTATAATCATTTCATTACTATGGTTACAATCCCCTCCATGCATCATCAACCATCCAAAGGGTATATATTGCAAGCCTGGCCCCCCGGTCTTCAGCACACAGCCCCTCTCCCTCTCTGTGTCTAAAGTCCCCAGCGGCTCCATCTCTCCACGTCATCATCTCTGCCTCCATCTCAGGCATCACTGCTTCTCTGGGTAGGGTCCCACTCTCCGCTCTTCTCCCTTGATGGTCCCAAGGACCTCTGCTCTTAGGCTGAAGTTAATCACTCCCTTCCTTGCTAAAAAATGTCTACCTTTACACTTCCATTATCATGGTTTTTTGGTGTGGTTTTTTTTTTTGCCTTTTTCCTTCCAGATCAGAAATGGGAAATGGGGGTAGGGGTAGTAGGAAAAAAAGCCCCATGAAATTTCCGTACAGGCTACGAGAAGTCGGTTGTTATTGTTAAGTGCCTTTCAGTCGGTTTCAACTCATAACGACCTTATATAGGGTTTCTGAGGAGCAGCTGGTAAACTTGATCTGCTGACCTTGCGTTTCAAACCCTGCATGTGGTCCAGCGCACTAACCCTCAGCGTCACACCAGGATTCTTGGCTCAACCAGAGAAGGTTCGTGAGCAACTGCTTATAAACACATGTAGCTAGCTCCCAACTTTGAAATGTCTTCCTTCGACATTGTTGGTGAATTGGCTTTTCTGACTCCTTTGGATTATACTGCTGTTTCCTTTCTTTATTCTGAATCTTTAAAAACATTAT